GGACCACTAGCCCCGGCTGGGGCCCTTCCCTGAGTTGGTTTCCCTTCCTGACCTGCTCTTGCACACTTTCCTTCTGAGCCTCCATGGGGACCAGCCTGCAAGTCGGCCTAGCCTGTCCAGGATACAGTGGGGCTGAGTACCCCCAGGCCTTCCACTCCTCCTCTACCCTCTGGGCATCAGAAGGCTCCTGGACTATGAGCGTCACCCCCAGAATTCCCTGCTGACCCCACCCCACTTCCAGGGAAAAGCTGGGGGAAGTTGGACCCTTCTCACTGACTAGCTGTCTGGTAGGGGTGCTGGGACCAGCCTGGCTTGCAGGGTTGAGCTATTTGAGGAACAACTCCAAGGTTCCTTAGAAAGGGCTTTTTAGAGGCTGGGCAGGGTGGCTTACGCTTGTAATCTCAGCACTTTGGGAGGCCAAGGTGGGTGGATCATTTTGAGATCAGGAAAGATCAGCCTGGCCAACATGATGAAACCCTGTCTCTACTAAAAATACAAAAACTAGCCGGGCATGGTAGCAGGTGCCTGTAATCCCAGCTACTAGGGAAGCTGAGGCAGGAGAATCTCTTGAACCTGGGAGGCAGAGGTTGCAGTGAGATTGCACTGCAGCCTGGGTGACAAGAGGGGAACTCTGTCTCAAAAAAAAAAGTGCTTTTTAGACTGGGCGTGGTGGCTCATGCCTGTAATCCCTGCACTTTGGGAGGCCAAAGCAGGCAGATCACTTGAGGTCAGAAGTTTGAGACCAGCCTGGGCCAATATGGGGAAACCCTGTTTTTATTAAAAATACAAAAATTAGCTGGGTGTGGTGGCTCGCACCTATAATCCCAGCTACTAGGGAGGCCGAGGCAGGTGAATTGCTTGAACTGGGGAGGCGGAGGTTGCAGTGAACTGAGATGGCACCACTGCACTCCAGCCTGAGCGACACAGCGAGACTCTATCTCCAAAAAAAAAAAAAAGTAGTTTCTGAAAATATTGAGGTTGAAATGATGGGAACCAACATTCTTTGGATTTAGTGGGGAGCGTAATAGCAAACACCTCGCCTTGGTTCGCACATGTACAGGAATGGGATCCAGTGGGGCACAGCCATGGACTTCCCCACTCTGGAATGTGTGGTGCCAAAGTGGGGCCAGGGCCCAGGCCCAGGAGGAAAGGGTGGTCCACAGACACCCCGGGATGTCAGCAGCCCCCCACCTGCCTTCTGGCACCTCCCCGGTGCTGCGGTGTGTCAGCAGGCATGGGGTGAGAGCCTGGTACGTGCTGCGAACAGGGTGCGGGGACCGAGTGTGCCTCCTTCAGCCTTGACTCGGGCCATGCACCCCCTCTCCCTCACACACACACACAAGCACTTCTCCAGGATGGTGCCAGGACAGGTATCTCTTCAGTCCCCTGGTTATGACCTCAAGTCCCACTTGGGCCCTGCAGCCCCGCCTGTCTTGTAACCCCTGCCTCCTCAAGACCACACCTGGAAGATTCTTCTTCCCTTTGAAGGAGAATCATCCTTGTTGCTTCATCGCTTCTAAGACATTTTGTAGCACCTGGACAAGTTAAACAGAATGTGCTTTCCTCCCTGGGGTCTTGCTGTCCCATAGGCTCTCACGAGAATGCCACAGGGGCCATGCACTGGGCAGGCTTCTCTGTAGAACCCCAGGGGCTTCAGCCCAGATGGCAGCATCTCACCCTTAGCCTATAGCAGGGAGTCCTGAACTTCTGCATTCACAGGCCACCTCCACAATTGTTCTAACCAAAGACCTCCTGTTCTGTTCTTTCACTTAAATCAACATGCTATTTTGTTTTCACTCACTTCTGACTTTAGTCTTGTGCTGAGCCATGTATCATGCAGTCATGTTCATGTGCTAGTTACATTTTTCTTTTTACACATGAAAATAAATGCATACGTGTTAGAAGCTCTTCCGTGTTGCGTATAAGCTCTCGCACAGGTGAACGCTGGCCTTTGGTAGTAGCCCTAGAAAGATGTTTGCTGGGCATCTGCTCGCTGTGGTGGGAGCATCTGAAGAGTGCTGGGGCTCAGCTCAGCAGACGGAGATTCTCCTTTCCTGCCTCATCCCCAGCACCAGAGGCTGGGGCCGGCCAACTCACCGGTGTGCTTCTCCTGGACACAGGCCACCACCAATGGGGTTGGCTGTAGGATCCTCAGTAGAGCTGCCAAATGCTTTAAGAATGAACACTCAGGCTGGGTGTGGTGGTCAATGCCTGTACTCCCAGCACTTTGGGAAGCTGAGGTGGGCCGGTCACTTGAGGCCAGGAGTTTCAGGCCAGCCTGGCCAACATGGTGAAACACTGCCTCTACTAAAAAATGCAAAAATTGGCTGGGCATGGCGGTGCATGCCTGTAGTCCCAGCTACTCGGGAGGCTGAGGCAGGAGAATCTCTTGAACCTGGGAGGCAGAGGTTGAAGTGAGCTGAGATCACAACACTGCACTCCAGCCTAGGTGATAGACTGATTCAAAATAAGAATCAACAGTCAGGCTGGGTGCAGTGCCAGCACTTTGGGAGGCCGAGGTGGGTGGATGGCTTGAGTTCAGGAGTTTGAGACCAGTCATGGCAACATGGCGAAACCCTGTCTCTAAGAAAAACGAGCCAGGCACAGTAGTGTGCACCTGTAGTCCCAGCTACCTGGGAGGCTGAGGTAAGAGGATCACCTGAGCCCAGAAGGTCGAGGCTGCAATGAGCCGCAATTGTGCCACTGCCACTGCGCTCCAGCCTGGGTGACAGAGTGACACCCTGTCTCAAAAATAAAGAAGACCACTCTCCCCGAGGGCATGCCCCCTGCACAAAACCAGGCTGCTGTCGCTCTTCAAGCTTGCACACTGCCCCCTGGGCTCACTTGGTCAGCACAGGCCGAGGGAGAGTTGGTGGCCTGAAAGAGCCCTGGCTTGGGGACAGGCCACCCAGATCTCAGACCTATCTCTGTACTCAATAGCGTGGACAAGTTAGTAACCCTCAGCTTGATGTTCTTATCTGGAGCAATTTTAAAAATTGTATTTATTGGCTGAGCGCAGTGGCTCACACCTGTAATCCCAACACTCTGGGAGGCCGAGGCAGGCAGATTACGAGGTCAGGAGTTCAAGACCAGC